TTCTTCAGTAAATGAGTAAACTGACAACCCCTTTGGTTGTCGTGAAGGCCTCTGGGAGTTTGGGTCAATGGCACTGAGTTATAACACTCTAACACAAGTTTCTTTTTTAAGATGGATTGAAAATTTATTTCCAGGTTACATAATAAAATTACAAATTTATGATTGCCAATATTGACTGGATCCAATATGATGATTGATAATTCTTTTTTTTTTTTTAATCCTCATCCGAGGATACTTTTTCATTGCTTTTTAGATAGAGTGGAAGGGAGAGAGAGAGAGAGAAACATCAATGTGAGAGAGAGACATCAATTAATTGCTTCCTGCATGACCCCCACCAGAGCCAGAGATCAAGCCTGCAACCCAGACATGTGCCTTTGACCAGGAATCAAACCTGGGATCCACACTCCAAACACTGAGCCAAACTGGCCATGGTGATAATTCTTTTACCAAATCCTTAGTTGTCTTCCACTCTCATACATCTCAATGCATTTATCCAGAATTTTATGACTCTTCTAAAGTTATCTTTCCTACCTGTACTTCCCTGTTTTCTCATCAATAGATCTTTACTCCACACACCAAAGGAAAGAATAATAGTGAATGTCTCTCTTCTTTTCCCATAAATTACCTTGTTTTATCATCCTTACTTATTTCCTCAACTCGTTTTCAATCTTTTTACTTTACTGGTAATTTCTTTCTTTTTTTTTATTTTTATTAATTAATTTCTTTTTGTTATAGATATTTCTCCTTTTTACCCCCTAGACACCCTCCTTCTGACCCCCCCCCCCACCTCACAGCATTGTTGTCTGTATCCATTGGTTATGCATATATGCATATAGGTTCTTTGGTTTATCTCTTCCCTCTCCCCCCCACCCCCCCCCTCTTTTCTGAGGTTTGTCAGTCTGAACCCTACTCCTTTCAATATCTCTGGGTCTATTTTGTTCATCAGCCTATTTTGTTCATTATATTCCACAAATAAGTAAGATCATGTGGTATTTGTCTTTCTCTGACTGGCTTATTTTGCTTAGCATAATACTCTCCAGGTTCCTCCATGTTGTCTCAAAGGATAAGAGATTTTTCTTTCTTACAGCTGCATACTATTTAATTGTGTATATACCTAAGCTTTTTTTATCCACTCATCTATTGATGGACACTTGAGCTGTTTCCAGATCTTAGCAATTGTAAATAGTGCTGCTATGAACTGATTGGTGTTTCAGGTTTCTTAGGATATATTTTTAGAAGTGGGATCACTGGGTCAAATGGCAGTTCAATTTTTAATTTTTTGAGGAAACACCATATTGTTTTCCATAGTGGCTGCACCAGCCTGCATTCCCACCAGCAGTGTCCTAGAGTCCCCTTTTTGCCAAACCCTCGCCAACACTTGTTGTTTGATGATTTGTTAAGGGCAGCCATTGTGGCAGGTATGAGGTGAAAACTCATAGTCATTTTAATTTGCATTTCTGTGATGATTAGTAACGTTGAGCATTTTTGCATATGTCTCTTGACCATTTGTATGTTCTGTTTGGAGATGTGTCTTTTTAGGACCTCTGCCCATTTTTTAATTAGGTTGTCTTCCTTTTGCTGAGTTGTATGAGTACTCCATATGTTTTGGAAATTAGCCCCTTATTTGACGTATCATTGGCAGTTATGCTCTCCCATACAATGGGTTCCCTTTCCATTTTGATGTTTATTTCTTTTATTGTGCAGAAGCTTTTGAGTTTGATGAAGTCCCATGAGTTCATGTTTCTCTTTGTTTCGCTTGCCTTAGGCTTTGTATCAGTGAAAATTCTGCTGCATGTGATGTCTGAAATTTTGTTTCCCATATATTCTTCTAGGATTTTTATGGATTCTTGAGTCACATTTAAGTCTTTTGAGTTTATTCTTGTGTATGTTTAAGTTGGTGGTCTAGTTTCATTTTTTTGCATTTAACTGTCCAATTTTCCCAACACCATTTATTAAAGAGGCTGTCTTTTCTCCATTGTGTGCGCTTGCCACCTCTGTCAATTATTAATTGAGCATATTGTCTTGAATCAATTTCTGGGTTCTCTGTTCTGTTCCATTGATTTATATGCCTGTTCTTGTGCCAGTACCAGGCTGTTTTGGTTACAATGGCTTTATAGTATAATCTGATATCCAGTATTGTGATTCCTCCCAGTTTGTTCTTCTTTTTCAAGATAACTGTGGCTATTCGAGGAAATTTCTTTAATTGATAGATCTAATGGCTTCTTTTCAACTCTCATCCTAGTCCTATTTCTCCAATATTTATATTTTTTAACATCTTGAAAGTTTATTTTGTCTTTTTTTTTATGTTTACTCTCTCTTGATTTTTCTTTTTTATCTTTAACAGTTTTTTTAAAAGAGGAATATGAAATAATTTATCTTCCAAACTGAAATAACTTTTGAAAATGAAAAGGTGTGCTATTAATTAATAATTGAGCCAGGATAATAGATATAAATCCAGATTGTTCAAGAAAAAATGGGATGTATGTTCATCCCATTTACAGATTTTTCCTCTCTTTTTCTTCTGATAACCCTTTACTATAGATATCACCTAAAATTTTAAACCATTAGCTTTTGTTCTTTCATATATCCTCCTTGGGTTATTTGAAAATTTGCATAACTGCAACTACCACCTCCACTGATAATTTCCAAAGTATCTGTCCAGTCCCTGACTGTTTCCTAAGCTGCAATCTCATGTTTCTAATAGCTGATTGGGTATCTCCAGACTATTAATTCAAAATAATATACCCTAAAATTTAAACCCGTCTTTCCCCTCAAATATCTTATTGTTTTACTTGCATCCATACATAGAGAGGAGAAAAATGTGTAGTATAAGTACGTGTGTGTGTGTGTGTGTGTAAGTCTGGAAATATATGTATTACACATACATACAACTTCGTGGAGGTATTTCATTAGTACTGGACATACAATAGTAACAAGAAATGTGGGGTTCCATCATCATAACAATATATTCCAATATGGGAGATAGACATTGATCAAACTATCACACATAAAATGTAGAATAAGTGTGATAATTGCTATGAAGGAAAGGAATATATTATGTGTTGTATAATAGGGGCATCTGATTTTCTTTTCAATACATGGACTTCTTATTAGGCATAAGTAGCAACATATAGCTCTTCTAGATTAGACTACCTCAATTTCTTTAAAATATTTATCGGGCAATTTAATACTCAGATGTACTGGCAGATGGAGCCATTTTTCTTCTCACAATTCCCATTGCTTTTCATCCTAGTTATGGGGATTTTTTTTTCTTTTTTAAATATTTTTTTATTTTGTTTTTAGAGAGAGAGGAAGGGAGAGATAGAAACATTGATGTGAGAGAGAACATCAATTGGCTGCCTTTTGCATGGCCCCTATTGGGCATCAAGCCTGCAACCTGGGCATGTGTCCTGACCAGGAATGTAACAGGGACTGCTCAGTCCATGGGACAATGCTCAATCCACTGAGCTACACCAGCCGGGTAATGGGGATATTTTTCATAAATCACATGAATTGTCAAGTCTTGAAATAGTGGCAGTACCATTAGTATTGAGTATGTTGGTATGGAAACTAAATTAAAGAGCTTTGAAAATGGTATTATGTTGTTTGTGAGAAAGAGATGCTACCTAAGATCAGGAATACCTTTCTAGTCACAAAGTCTGGATGCTCTTTCTTCTTTTCACATAGTAAGTAACATTTGTTGATAGAATGTTAATTGCATTTTTTATCATATGTTTTTCCCCTCTTATACACAAAAGTTGAAAGTTATCACATTCTCACTTTAAGATTAGAAGACCTACACCATTAATAGTAGCCCAGAACATGAACTAAATTATGCATAGCCCCAGATATAAATTTTATAATCAACATAAATATTAATGATTTAAAAAATATAAAACACATTATTGATCCTTATGTTTATATATTTTTAAATAGTGATTCTCAGCTACATCAGTCTTTACCATGTTGATAGGAATAATATAATAACAGTAATAATAGCCAACATTTATTAAGTGTTTACTACTTGGAAGTGCTAGATAATTTATATGCATTATCTTATTTAACCCTCAACAGTAATCTCATGAAGTAGATGCTATCGTTATCTTTATTTTTTTAGATAAAGGATGTGGTAATTAGAAAATATATTTCTCTAGTATGAATATAACAAATTTATTCTTAAATTTAAAAAAAAGAAAGAAACATATATTCATCCATGTCCCAGCAGAAGTCATAGCATTCTTAAAATGGATAATTGAGAAGAGTTTAATAAAGGACTGTGATATTTACAAAGCCTTGGGTAGATTTTAGGGACAGCTACCAGACATAACGCAGTGCCCTGGGATTAATAATAATGGAAACCATTAATATTCCTAGTCCTAATGAGGCACAGGGAGAGAGCTGCAGGTAGAATCCAGTATTAGAATGCAGAAAAGAGCTATAAGCAATCTGACAGGGGCTGTCATCCTAGCCAACCTATGGTGACCTGATAGAAAAGAAACCAAGGGAATAAATACCAGACCTTACTTTCCTTCAACCCTTCAGTTTCCTGACATTGCCTCCCGTTGGCTGGACCCAACTGAAAACCAGAGAACACAAGGTAGCTTGCTAATTCCATCCGTACAGGTCAGCTTGGAGCAGAGGGGATGAAGAAGGATGGAAAATGAATTTGAAAGGGAAATGGAAAATATCTAGAGAATACATAATTGTTAAATGGCAGAGTCAGTTTATGAATACCAAACACTACTCCTGACCACAGTGCAATTGTGGTTAAGAGCTCTCATAAAAAAGTTTAATAAAATATTATTTGACCAGGGGAAATATTTTAAAGGTTTCTGTTCAAATTATTGGATGCTTTTGTAACTAACAGTACATGAGAAGAAGTGCAGGAGCATTGAGCTGCAAAGAATGCCCCCATCCAAAAAAAAACTTAGGTGTGGGTATGATTTTACATCCTGTTAGTATTTTCAGAATATTAAACCATGCTTATTCCCCTTGTTCAGATTCCAGACTCCATAATTTCTCGTGGCGTTCAGGTGCTCCCACGAGACACAGCTTCCCTCAGCACTACTCCTTCAGAATCTCCTCGTGCTCAGGCTACATCTCGCCTTTCTACAGCTTCCTGCCCAACACCAAAAGTAAGTACAGTTCCTTGGCACTGAGGTCTACTATGTGAATCTGGGAAAACTAACCAATATTTTCCTCTGCTTGTCAAGGTTGGATTGCATGCATGATAATAAAATGAAAAATTAATGGACTATATGATAGTTACCACCTACTGTTTCACAAATTGTCATATTAGGCCAACAGTAGGACAATAAAATTTTCATTGAAATGTCTACTCCTGCATCATAGCTACAGGTATTTTCTGTAGCTCTTGTTACTTGGTTATAGACTTGTTATTTTCTTAGCATACTCATAGTATAGATGTGGAGTTACATGTTTATGCAGAAGATCAATGCATTTCTGGCCAATAAATAGCAAGATTAACAAAATAAAATAATGTTACCAAACGTGTTTTTTTGTTTTGTTTTGTTTTGTTTTTACCTCTCCAGGCTGGGGTAGCTCCCTGCTCTAGTATCATTCCAAATTTTTTCAAACATATTCAACTTGGAATGTTGCTGCCTACTATTTGGAAACAAATCTAAATTGATTAGAAAGAAAGTTTTAATGCCAACCTTTGAGGGAGGGAAGAAGTATCTTAGTATTTATTTTTTATAATTTTCCCAAGTACTGAATTATGTATGGAGGAAATAAGGGTTGGACATTTATTCGTTGCCTCACATCATCATGTATATGATAAAGTAGCAAGCATAATTATGGCTTTGACTACTTACTCCTGGAATGTCTCTTCCCTGGTTAAGTTAGTCATGTGTGCTGTTCAGTTTTCTATGAAATGGATCTGATATTGGCATCCAAAGGATAACAGTAAAATTTCTTCTTCCTTAATAGGATATGGTGTTAGATATCAGGCTGTACACTGAATGTATTCTAGGGATCTGCAGGTAATTTTCCAAATTGTGACTTTTTTTCTGTCATCAAATTTAAAGACATATATAGCTGTTTTCCTCAATTCCAACTTCTCTGAATTTATCAGTGTTATCATTGGATTTAGCTAGAAGTGATCTCAAGCAGTTCCTAATATATGTAGTACAATTGCTTTTACATTCCGTGGTACAACCTTCTCAGCAAAGCCTTCAGTGTGTTAGTGTTGTAAATCATTGTTTTTAGACTTGCATCAAAAATAACTGATATTAATTTTATAGTTTAAAAAAATTGAGGGCCTAAATCTGAAGAAAAGTTATAAGAACATTCTAGACATGCGTATGTTAATGCCATTCAGAGGCTAGTCAACTATAACTTCAACTGAATGAAAACATTGAGTTCTCTAGACTAAAATTAGATAGATGAATCTCATCCATGTCTTTTAAATTCTTAAAACAAAATAATTTATTGTTTGACTGCATTAAATTCTAATTGCACAAGCTGTACTCATTTATAAAGTCTGGGAAATAATTAAAGTTGAAAGTTAAGGTCACTATTCATGTTTAACCATTCGCCAAATATTAAGATCCAAATCTTAGGAATACAGAACTTTCCAAGACACGGTGTTTTTTTCCCCTTAACAATGTACTGTGAACATAAACATTTTAAGCATAATTTAAGCATACATGCTACTTTTTTAGGCCTTTTTAAAACTTTGTCATTATATTTTAATTACAAAGGGACTATTAAATCCAATTTTTAAAATCACTTGGTATTTCTAAATTTACTAAAGTGAAATCCTAAAAATAAAAACGTTGATATTTATTAAGTTAATTTGCTTATTGCAGAACTTTAGAAGAGCAAGTGGATTGTCTTGATATTTTTTCCTTAGTTAACACTTAGATGCTCAAACTGATAATGAATTTCTATAAAGTAGTATATTTGAATATCTTTTTTTCTAGGAATTTTTTTTCCATATTTTTATCTAGGAATAAGATTCTGTTTCTTTTAGATAATTTTTATCAGCACCAGAATGTGTACCTCAAAGATAAAATTATTGCTTTAGTGAATTTTAAAATTAAACCGCTAAGGCTGAATCAGAATACTAATATAATAAAAAACTAGTTTGAATATTGATTTCTTAAAGGAGTAAAGAAAATCAAAATAATCTTTCTATTAAATTTCTCAAAGTATAAGGTTGCTTGATGGAATCTAAATTATATGCTCTTATAACGTACTTTTATATCAGTGACAAATCTCTGCCTTCATGAAGTTTACAGTTTAGTCAATGGTATATTAAAATAAATAGGTAGATAAACACAAATAATTTTATTACAATTTCACAATAACAATAATTATACATTGAAATTCATGCAAGAATAAATGAAAAAGTTGTAGTGATAGAAAATAATAGGAGAGAAACCTTATTTAAGATGATCAGAGAAGACCTCTCCAAGGAATAACATTTCACCAAGGACATGAAGGATAAATAAAAACAAAACGAAAGCTTTTGTGCTGGGTAGAGGTTTTGAGAATTATAGTTGGCTATAATGACCAATTCAAAGGCACTTGTGACCAGGTAGTTATCTCCAGTCAAGAACTCTCAGACAGATACTTCATTGGTACATGAATAGTCTAATTCAGTGACTTCAAAATTCATTTTTAGATATCAGTTCTTTTTTATTTTAAATAATGATTTATTTTACCTTTGCCTATTGATCAAATTTCAAGAACATTGATTTTAGCACTTAAATCTTTTTTAGGAGAATTATTTATTTTAATGTAAATAAAAACTCAGGGTAGAGAAAAAGTACAAAAGAATGTTCGGTTTTTAATTTGAGATCTGGATAAATGACGATATTATTTACTATATTAAGAAATGAAAGAGAATAAGTAAGTTTTGAAGGTTAAAGAAAGGAGAATTGATACATTTTGGTTCTCATGTGTTCTATTCGAAATATGTATGAGACATCCCAGAAATGATATCTAGTACAAAATTAGAACACAAATTGAATTTGACAATTTATTGTTGTTGCATTCTGGTTATGACATTTATAATTTAGTTCATTTTAGTGTTGGCCAAACTCTGTGTTTCAGATTAGGCATGCAGTCTGTCATATACAGAACATATATGCAAATATTTTTTTTTACAATGCAGTCTTCAATGATCAGCACTAGAAAGAGCATATGACTTGATAATGGAAGACCTGGATTAAATTGCTGAGTTCTTTACCTACTAATCACACTACATTAAACAAATTGCTCAACTTTTCTGAGTTTCATGTCTGTAATGAAACTAATAATCCTTGCCTCCCCAACAAAGCTTTTTCAGTTGTTAAATAAGTCTTTGCCTGGTGCTAAGAGCAGTTGTGAGCAAGTAGACATTGTTTTTGCTTTTACAACTAGAGATTATAGTAAATTATAAGTACGTTGATTTATCCTCAGAAATACAGAATAATCTGGGAATTAACATCAGAAGAACTTAACCTAGTCTTTGTTGAAAACACAAAATGGTTAAATAACCAAATTAGAATTCAAAACTAACAATTCCAACCTTTCCCTTTGTAGCTTTTTATTATTGGGCAGTATTTTAGCTGAAAGACTTCCTGTCTATTTGCATGTGCACATCTATTTCTCTTATGTCAACAAATAAAACAGTAAACACTATTTTGGATTCACATTTTATATGTTCACTGCAATATAATATCCTATATTGTGCTTTGATCTTTTAAGATTCAAAAGTGAGAACAAAAGTCTATAAAATATATACCAACTTTGGATTTCATTTTTAGTACTCTCATCACAGTCAAATGAAGAAAAGTGTGAATTACTATATCTTTTGTTTTGTTTTTAATTAAAATATAGTTAACTTTTCTAAGCAATTTTTCATTCAAAGGCATTGTCTCCAGCAAATATTTATTACCTGGACTGATGTTATTTTATTGTATTTGGTAAAAAAGTTCTTTCTCTTTTATATCAAATACTTTCCATGAAATCTGACTGAAATGACGGATGAGTTCCTCTCCTCTTGTTTTATAATACAGTGAAGTATCTTTTAAGAACAAACTTGGGATTTTAATTATTCACTTCTCTAAGTAAAAATTGCCTAAGACAAAAAAGTCAAATGGTACATAGATTCTATTTAAATGAGAAGTGGGTAATATGTAGAGGATTCAAGTTCTAAGTGGTAATAGTCTCAAAAAAAAAATGGTTTACTAAAAGAATATATAACAAATAAATTGTATTTTATTTATTTTTGCAAGTTCTGTTTTAAAGTGAACATGATTCACAACTTAATGAGGGCTGGTATTCAATTATGAAAGACGGGAGTATCTCTGTTAAAAATTAAGAGGCTAGCCCTGGCCAGTTTGGCTCAGCGGTTAGAGCGTCGGCCTGCCGTCCGGAGAGACCCGGATTCAGTTCCCGCTAAGGGCACGTACTTCGGTTGCAGTTTGTCCCCGGCCCTGGTTGGTCGTGCGGGTGGCAGCCACTCGATGTGTCCCTTCACGTCGATGTTTCTCTCTCTCTCCCTTCCTCTCTCTCCCTCCCACTCTATCTGTACAAAAAATGGAAAAATATCCTTGGTGAGGATAAAAAAAAATAAAAAATTAAGAGGCTAGCCCAGCCAGTGTGGCTCAGTGGATTGTGCATCATTTCATGGACTGAGAAGTCCTGGTTTTATTCCCAGTCAGGGCACATGCCCAGGTTGCAGGCTCGATCTCTGGTAATGGGTGTGCAGGAGGCAGCTGATCGATGTCTCTCACATCATTGTTACACTCTCTCTCTCACTCTCTCTCTCTATTCCTTTTTATCACTCTAAATAAATTAATTAAGAGGTTTGAGGAAGAGAATAATGAGCATAGCAAAAAAGAAAAAATTCTAAACTTTCAATCAATTTACTGTTCCCTCTGTATGTTATTAAAATAGAGAATATTTTAAGAACTAATTCAATTATTCTTTTATTCCTAGGCATCTGAAGTTTGACTTAAAAATAAATTAATTAATTGATTAATTAACTAATTAATTAATGTAAGTGATTGACCCATATGCTTTTGTATCTTAAAGGTTAGAATGGAATTTTATTCCAGACTAACTTGCAAGTTAGTGTTTATTCCTTATGGGAAGAAAAGATAAACACTCTCTGTCTAATTGA